ATTAGATAATTTATTTTAATCAATAACAATAAGAGTTATCCAAAATCAAAAATATATTTTCTTTTAAAAAGATAATTCCTATATATATTGTATTGTTATCTGAACCTATCTTTTCATAAAATATTTAAAAATTCAAAAACAGAAAACAATAATTAAATATTAATTAATTAAAATTCTTAATTTTATATAATTGAAAAAAAAATATTGAATAATTTATAATAAAAGTAAAAATTTTGAAAATGATTTTTAATTAGTAATATATTTACTAACAAATAATTATAAAAAGCTTAAGCAAAGTAATTTTTCGTAACGGGGTTCCCATGTTAAAAGTTAGCGCGGTTAATATCGTTTATACCATTAATAAATAAATTATATAAATTAATTATATATAAAAACGAATTTAAATTTATTTTAATAGATATATTATTTTAAACAATAACAATAAGAGTTATCCAAATCCAAAATATCTTTTATTTTAAACAGATAATTCATATATATATTGTATTGTTATCTGAAAGCTATCTTTGATAAAATATTTAAAAATTAAAAAACAGAAAATAAATAATTAAATATTAATTAATTAAAATATATAAATTTTTATAAATGAAAAATTAATATTTGAATAATTTTAAGATTAAAAATTTTCAAAATGAAAACACAAACAATAATATATGCTTATAATTTTAATTAGTAATATATTTAGTTAATATATATAATTATAAAATACCTGAAGCCCGCATGACGGGCAAAACACCTAGTTTTAGTATTAAACATTGACTTGAAGGTCTTAGTCTTTGTTTCAAAATGTCACGTCAAAGAACGAGAGCGCTCTCAACTGTGGTGTGATAAAGACAGAACATATATATGCCTACGTTCTTTGTAACGTATTTAATTTTTAGTAATATACTGAAAAGAATCTTGTTGTGTACTGCAAGCTCTAGTAGTTTCATAACACGTATAATCTTCACTGTTTCACACCCATACATGTATATAACGAAAATGATTCAAATATTACAGGGTTTAGATTCAGAGATCATAATAGCATATGATCATGTAACCCAATACTATTGTTTTTCAGATAGGTCTCAGTAGTGAACTGTTTTTAAGGTTGCTTCTTTTCTTTACGTACATAAACACCAATAAGACCTCTTTGTGTTTCAAGTTCAACCGATGAATGAAGTTTTTGCAGAGAGATGGATTAAAGCGCGACGATGATACTGGCTTCTTAGCTTCTTGTACTTCTGCACAAACGCTGCTGTATCAATCTCCTTCTCCATATACTTCTGTTGCAGCTCCTCTGATTCTTCATCTCCCTTCTTCATAGCATCTACCAATGAACACAAAAATAACCAGAAATGTGCATAATTTTGTTACACATATTGAGTGTGAAGAACCTATGTTTTTTCTTTGTACCTTGAAGTCTATGAAGAAGAGAGCCAGGAGAGTAGAATTTGAGGATCTCGTCTCTTTGATTCTCAAGCTCATTGAGCCTCTCTTGAGCAGTTGCAAGCTCACTTGTACGGATTATTCTGCACTGTATAGACAAATAATTTCACAGATGGTGAGAAAAGTTTCAGATACTCAATATACAACTCAAGACTATGAATAATTTTACCCACTTGGTTTCTGAGCTCCACTATCTGCGGTTCCTTCTCCAAGTTTTCCCCTGTTATATATTAGCATGACCGTTTTAGAATTCTTTAAGAAATTTGAATTTAACCTGTTTAAGTAAAAGTTTTACGAGAACTCACTAGCAAGATGTAATGTCTCTTTGCGAAGCTCTTCTCTGATCTGGTGAACATTAAGAAAGAAACAACAAATGATTAGTTATCTTTAAAAAACACACGTAAACAGTGAATAGGCTACAATTCTTAAGATATTTGCGACTTACGTTGTTTTGAATAGTGACCTGCTCAAGCGAGTTCAAGAACTGTTGGTACGCATTCTTGTCAGTCAGAAGCTTGCTCAGCTCATCCACACTAGACCAAAAATATTGAAGAAGAAGACAAGATATGAGCGAGAAGAAGAAGACAGATGATAAATACTGACAACTCCATAAACAGATTTTTTTAAAATAAGTATCTCTCTCAATGACAGAGAAAATCAGTAACAAAACTATCATAACAAGTAATAACCTAGGGTTGTTCTGAAGTTAACATAAACTGTCCCAAGCCTAAAAGACACTTTAAGTCATATTGAAGAAGACAATTGTATGAAATACACCTCGTAGCCACACATAAAAAAAGAAGTCACCAGAAAGAGTTAAGAAATGTGGAAGCTAAAACCTTTTGTCTTTCAAAAGTGAAATAATGCCAGCAGCTTCACTTGGCGAAACATGTGATGGTTGAGGGCGTGAGGATGAGCTATGAGAGGTGACCAGAGACGGAGAATACCAAGGTGATTGTGGAGATGGTTCTGAAGAAGAAGGACGAGACTCCCCAAGTTGCTCCTTTGATCCCCTGTGTTGGTTTATCACACAACAAAAAAAAAACATCCTCAAACACTATCTAAAAAAGTGTTCAACTTCAACATACACCATCTTATGTATATACCTAAACAAACATTGCAGTAACTAAACACGTGTGATGAGTTCCTTTTAAAACATTTCAAGTTTACAAGTTTCTTATGAGAAACGCATCAAATCATTGAGGATATATTCTTCTACTAAAGCTTCATTGATAGCGGAAACTATTAGCAGCAAACTCAGTAAACTTTAGGGAATTATTCAACACTAGTAAAGCAAACTTCTTTATACACAACAGATACATCCCAAAATTGATCACAAAATCAAAATTAGATACAAACACAATCGAGCAGACGGCAAAGAGAGCATAATTATGAATGGAGTTGATGCTTACCAGAAATTGAACATGGTTCCTCGATCACACACAAAAGGTTTTCTCGATTAAAAAGATAAAAGAAAGATCGCTGATACAGGAAATAAAATCGATAAACTTCAGAGAAGATGAAGGATCGAGGCAATATCGTATTTTTGCTTCTTCTTTTTTTTTTTTGGGTCAATCAAAAGAGGAATACTTCCTCTCTTTCTTTTATTTTTGTTTACTAAGGCCTTTTATACGGATGGTCCACTAGTTGGGCCTTTATTATTGGGCCGTTAGTGATTTTCTTCCAACTCGCATTACTCATTAGTTTTAACATGCCAATTGAATAAATAAAAGTTAAAACCATAGATTTGAGATTTTATTTTGGAATAGTGTAGTATTTGTTCTTAGGGTTAATCTCATCACACTAAGACACTTCACTGCTAGCTGAATATCATCCAATTGAGGTTCAAAAGATCATCCATACTGCATAAACACATTAACCAAATCACTGACAAGAAAACAAAAATTATAAGATTATGTTAGAATAAATTTTGAGTTGCAATAATCCAAAGAGTTCATCCTTTTGTTTAAAATAGAACAAATCCATGGATTTTGTTGAAGTTGGATATGAAAGCAGTGGAGAATTTAGGTTTTAAATAATTTCTTACAAATTAATTAAAGACTTGCTTATTGCAAATGCAAAACTTTTCATTTCTTACATTTTGGTTCACATTTTTACTTTTCATCCTGCAGATAAATTTTCATTTTACCAACGTTTTCATATCAAAATATATTCTAAGAAAATGTTGTTGTTTGTATTATTTTATCAAGATTGATATTTTTTTCCTTAAAAACTGCTTTATTTTTACTCAAAATTATCTGAAAACACTTTCACTAACTGCTTTACAAGTTAAAAAGAAAAAACAAGATAAACTTTGTGTTGCAATGGAAATGATATGAAAACACTTTCACTAACTTTGTGTTGCAAGGGAAATAATATGCAAATACTTTCACTAAGTGGAACGACACAACAAAATCTTTATGAGGCACTGACTGTAGCTACTCTTTTGATATGTATGGAAATAATTTTATAACTTACAACATTAGCTTCATGTCAACTTCCATTTTAAGAGCAACCAATGTCCAAAGTCACATTTAAGTCTGGATCCAACTTAATTAATTAACCACTGCCTAATTGTAAAATCATGTGATCGATCACATATACTTTTTCCAATCTCACATTCATCCCCCTATATAATAACCATCTCAATTATCCTATGTAAGACGCATAGCATAAACATGGATGTCTTAGTTTCTACATTAGCATTTTCTTTAGTAATTCTTGGTTAGATGATAGAAAGATAGTTATTTACTTATTATGGAATGGACTCAGAATCTGATCAATAATGATTCTCATGTTATCAAATGTAATATACCTAGAATGTATGACTTGGGAGAGCCCGAATAGACTATGCTATCATCATATCCAACACCTATTTGTATGTAATCATATCTCCATACGGATGGAATGACTAGGGCAACATGACCAGAGACAAGTAAGTAAACTACAACAAACTCATTACATGTCATGTTATTCCCACAAACTTTTAATTATGGCTAAATACGTTTTGTTTACCGTGATAGTGACTTTAGAGAATATATAGATGTTATGGAGAATGAGCAAACAACAAAAGGGAGAGTTTGATACATGAACAATTAATGGGTTCTGAAGCACCTAGGAACTAACTATCATACATAGATAGAGATCAATGGCTTAATCAAATTGTCATTCACTCCAAGCTAAACTTTGACAAGCACAAAGAAGACTTTATTAGTTCTTACTACTGTGATAAGAAAAAAAAAGATGACTTTATTCGAAGGCATAGAAGTATGGCCTTACAAAGTAGGGGTTATTTGCCAAATAGCCATAATGAAAAAAGAAATTAGATTTTAAGAGAGAGAATAGAGAGAGATAGGGAGAGATTAGAAGAGAGAGAAGAGAATTTTAGCTACTTAGCTGATTTGAGTTTTTTTGTAGCTATAGGGTCCAATTTCTCTACAAAGTATTTGTTTAAAAAAATTAAATACCAAAGCAGAGTTTTGACAATTCTAAATAAAATTTCTTTCAGATCCACTAAAAACATTTGTGAAAGTAATCCATCTAAACTATTAAATGAAAAGCACAAAATAGAGATAACCCTTAGTTTTTCTCAAAAATTACAATAGAATGTCACTGCAATTAAAACACTGTAATTTAATCTTATATGGGTTTCAATATAGATTTAAGGTCCAATAATTTTAAATTAAAACAAAATTGTCTAAAACCAAACAGACCAATTCAATTTTAAAAATGACATTTGTTAATAAAATTGCTAAAGCTCTTATTTTTTATCTTTTTTTTTGCAATCTAAATAATTTATTATTTTATAAAATATAATTTTAAATTATAATTGTAATCACAAAATTTATAGTATAATTTAATAAAATACAAACAATCTAAACAAGATACTCTAATATTTTACACTTAATTGTTTAGTTTACCAAGTAAAAAAAAGTATATATCAAAAAATTATTACAACTTGATAGTTAGAAAAAAAAGACGCTAAACAAAATGAATAAGATACAACGACATCATAACTCAATAATCTATGAAACATAAATATGAATGCTTTTTACAACTAATATTAATATATATATATATATATATATATATATATATATATATTTTTCTACAGAACATAAGGATCAAAAGCTAGTAAATAAATTAAATTACTAAATAAAAAATGAGTGGTTTTAACAAGAATTTTTTAACCATTAATTCAATAATATAAAATCTACTAAAAGTCAATAATCAATAATCCACTTAGATATTAGACATGAAGATACGTAGATGTGAATAGTAGTATACTTCAACATTCATAAGTCAATGTTTCTTAGTGTAGTTATGTCGCACTCATACAGAGAACATCCACCAAATATAACCAAAAAGCTAACTAATCAGCTGCGGACTAAGAGGGATGGTTCCCTCTGGTCGGACGACACACATGGTTACGTTTACGAGCATGTTCTTCGTTGTGGTGTTGTGTCCTACACGCGTATCCGTACCAACAGTTTTCTCTCGCCGCTGCATCAGCTGGAAAATAATCTATGATAAGCGTTACCCGGAACCAGTACAAAAGGAACCCCACCAGCTTATCATAACACTCACTGCAATGTACAATCAACAATCTTATCATCACAGTAAGAAGAAATCAATTTGCAGTTTTAACTATGTTTCAAACGGTGCAATTTTAAGACAGAAGAGTCTCCGAAGTAGACTAGTAACTTACTTGCAGACATGTGTTGATGCAGTTATCGACTCAGCATGATTGAGTGGCATTCGAGAGCGGTCTGCATACGAAGACAAGTTTTCAGTTTACTTAACGTTAGTTTGTAATCTTTAAAAACAATCTTGAACGGTTAATTATTTTGATATTAAGATTTACCGATTTGTCGATCGTTGAAAAGCCTGAACCACTCAGCTACAACATCCTGCACGGTTCTCCCCATCTGGGCAATGCATCTTTGTGTTATCTACAAGAAAACACAGAGAATGTCACAAAAAAATAAAAAAAGTTAAGAGAGATATCAGTATTCCCTTATAAGCAGTTCCATACATCTTGTTCATGGCGATTCATTTCATGGGTTAGAGAGGGAATCCTTGTAACTGTGCGTTCTGAGATCTGCAAATATTAGTAAGAAAATAATGAAAAAAATAAAAGAGAATAGAAATACACAGAACCATCTTGGATCATAGCATTCAAACCACAGTGCAAATTCCTTTTGTTGCAATACCTCAGAGATGGAAAAGAAAAGCTAAGATCAAGTCACATTACGTAACAGAGAACCAAACTTCAATGGACTATTCTTTATTCTAATAATAATCTAATCTTATATAACAAACAGTATTATCAACATGCCTTAATAATATAGTAAACACTGAATATTAACGGTTAAATCACAGCGCAACCTACAGGTCTGAAAGTGTCTCGACTGCAGACTGGAGTAGATTCACCGTGTGTAACATTTTGGGAACTCCAGTAAGCACCACAAAACGGCCTATCACATCCCATGCCTGCAATAAAATTTCTTAGCTGAGCAAGTGGAAAGCAACAACAGCAATGAACTTTCAACGTCTAGGGTAGAAAGAAAAAATAGCAACCAGTCATGAAAGCCAGAAGGTAGATGATTTAGACCGTAAACAATGGAAAGCAAACTAAAGAAGTATAGACTATCACTTACAGTGTAACGGCACTTGAAGGTTGGTTCTAAAGGGCATCATTCCTCTACACAGGTGGCATTGCAGATGTGCACCATGGCGTTCACACCGATAACCACCAATCGCAGCAGCTGAGCCATTGGCGCAAAAGAAGAATCCAACCAATCAATGATATAGCATTTGACGTTGATACCTCTACTCGTCATTTTTTTTTGTTTCTTTTACTCAAGTACATTCGTTCTTCACTACCACTAGATAGTTTATTTTGGTTTGTTCGATGTTCTGTCTTATCCAAGAGAATAGCAAGAAGATAGATTTGAAAATGATTTTCAAGTTCTCTGTCTCAAAGTTCCTTTGTCATCAACAATATTGTTAACAATGCTGTGGTAAGCTTTCTATCAAAGACAAATATTATTTTTTTTCTTACCGTGAAAAAACATAAAAAAGCAAGCATCTAGAAGATAAAATATATTACCACATTGTGGGCATTGCAAACGCAAGCTATCTCTTTCTTCAAGTGTAGGCGAGACTAGCGTACTCATACGGCGTTTTCTCTTGCTCCCAATGATCTAAATGCATGTAAATTGCAGTATTTAAGACAGCAAGGCAAGTATGTATAACTCACGACTAATTGCACAAGAAATACTATAAGCGTGTTTAAGAAATGGTAATGATTCCTTAAGCGACATACACCAATTAATCAGTGTGCTGCAAGACAAACTCATCTTGATAACTAATGCTTTATATATATACAATACCAGTTCCGTATTAGAGAATATTCCAGAAAGTACTTACAAGATTTGATTGAATTGATGAAGATGAGTCTAACACAGCGATATCTTCAGCTGGCCGCCTCAGTCCTGCATCTGCTTTCAATATATCCTAACATAACAGGCTCTGATATAGTCACCAGAAAGCTCAAGCATATATGAATATGTAAGTGATGCTTGCAGTGAACAGACAATTCTACCTCTTGTATGTTCTGCAGAAAATGATTCCTCCCAACAAACTGTACAGTTGTTCTGCACTGTGGGCACAGCACATGTTGATGTCTTGCCTCAGATCTCCGCATCCATTCTGAGAAACAGCCGTTACTGCAGGCAGAACACACCAACCATCAGTTTACCTACCAATATATTTTATCTACGGAAGAGAATTGCACAATACAAAACGAATGGGCAAAGACCAGAAATTATGAAGGCAAGGCGCAGCTGTGACAACATCATGCCACACGTTTAGGCAGATACTGCATTTTGCGTGATCAGGATCTATCGAAATCTGGAAAGCAAAATCAAAGTGAGATAGAATAAGACACTCGACTTAAGATTCTCAAAGAATTATGGACAATGAGTAAATAACTAGTTTTCATAAAGCACCTTCAGTAGCTGGGATCTGGAATCTGGAGCAGGCATTACTGTAAATCTGTACTGCAAGTAACCTGCAAAATTGAATTAAGAAAGTAATATATCTGTACTGAAAATTTATTGTTTTCTACTTCAGCATCAAACTTAGGATATTAACGACACAAACAGTAACTTGAAATAAAATCTGCAACTACAGAACAGTTCAATGAGAACCATTCTATAGCAATACCATTATCCATCTATTTAATCTAATCTGTTAGCCTTCACCCAAAGGGTTCCTATAAACTAACTGTAGCAATTACTTTATTTCAATATATATACAAAGCAACAAGAATGCACCAATATGAAATAACGCATCTTAATTGACCATGTCATTTTCTGAATGAAGACCCCAAAAAATCTTACTTCGAGGAATAAACAGACAAACTCAAGAGACAGAAAGCAAGGTCGAACCTTGTCCTCCCGGGCCAGGAACAATCTCGGATCCAGACATGATATCAACAGCACCATCTTTGGGGATGAGAGTCTCGTCAACAAGTATCGCATCCGAACTAAGCAAAGCAACACAAGTTACCAATAATTCAGAAAGCAGAAAATGTAAACAAAGAAAACATTAAAAGAGTCAAACCTTTTGTTATGTAAAGTGGCAGAGCCTTGACCCAAGTTCTTTGTGATTCTGCACCATTCATGTTTTTCAGAGGAAGATGGTTTAATCTCCGAGCATATCACCATATCATTGCACCTAATCTCGATGTCTGAGAATCTCGTGTCCAACGGAACTGCAAAATTTCGAACAGAATCAGTAGTGAAAATACCCAAACATGACAGTGCATTAGCTTCAACATGAAACGAGTAAAGACAAAAACTTTTTAAGGTCAATGGAATGTAATGAGCAACATTTAGCAGCAATTCAATTACAAATGACAAGACAAAGGGGTGGAAAGGGGAGAAACAGACAGACCCAGTTTGGCCCATGCATCATCAACATCATCGGAGGGTTTCGAACTAGAGGATTGACCTTTTTCCGTCGTCATCAGAGTTCACTTGTGTAATCAAACGAAAGCTTTCAGAGAACGACTCGTATTTTTTTTTGTCGAAGGACAAGACTTTTGGTTATGTTTTTGTTCTTGGCTTATAACCGTTCTTTGGTCCGTTCATCTAATTTGCTAAGTTCTAGTGTTATTCTTTAATGGGCCTCTAGTACGTTGGGCTTTTATTGTTGGGCGTATCAGTGATTTTCGGCCTGTAATGTAGATTATACACAGTTTCTAAGAAAGTACCCTGCTTTTGGATCTTTGATTACTACTCACTTTAGTTTAAAAAAAAAAAAAGATTTGTAAAGTTTGTAAATAACTGCTAAAATCCTTAGAATTTATTTTGTTTGCTTTGATTTGGTTCATGAAATCATTTCAAGATAATATATTTTTCTAATTTGAATTAAACAAATCGTAACTGAGAGACTGACTGCTATTTTGGACTCTTTTTTTTCCATCTGTTATGTTCTGTGTGTGTGTTGGTTGGATTTGAGAAAGTTCAAGATTCTTAAAGGGACAAATGAATAGTAAAGATAGTTTAAGGGTAGCCAGTTTATAGCTACTCTAAACATTAAACTTATTTAACTTTTCGTCTGTTATGCTTTTGATTTTTAAAGATTTTTTTGACGTTTTTAATGAATTTTTATAGAGCAATTTAGGTGTAAAACCAAGAAAGATATCGAAATTAGCTCAATACCAAAGACTGAAAACTTCAGCCGACGTGGCAGCAAAAAGGGAATAAAAAAGACGCTCTTACCCCCGAACAGTTGAGAGAGTAGGAGAGAGTAGGATAGTAGCTGTCAGATAAAATCTTCTGAAGATTTGTTTAGATTCTATTAGATATTACAATCTTAAAGTTATTATGTAGATATTTCTTACAGTATCATCATCTTCTCTTTCCATCTTCTTCTTCTGTTTTTTTTTTTAATTTTCGAATGAATCCAAATAAAATTGAAAAAGATCCATCATCATGATCCCTCCCAAACATACAAAATCGCTCGATTACGCCAAACAATTCACCACCGATCTCGAACAAGATCAATCGTATTCTCTCAGAGTTTGAACTCCTCTAACGATCAAGCTAAAGGTAAATATAAATGATAGTTGTGACAAAAATTATTATATACACGAGCAAGTATTTATGAGAAGAAGATTATTGTGGTTTTTGATGACATTGATAACCTAGACCAGGTTGATTCTCTGGTTGGTTAAAAAATGTTGGTATGGTGAAAGAACTCTTATAGTCATCATCTCACTACGTCTGCAACAAATTAAATTCTTTTGTATAATTTGAAGTTGGTCGTCTTACTGGTGTGTGATTTGCCTGTGTAGGATTTGGTTGCATTTGGTGAAAGAGGAATAGGTCAAGTTTTCCATCTGTGGAGGGGAGACTGGAAGGATAATGATTTCTTTGGATGGCTAAATCATCACTTACTGAATATAAATACGAGATATTTCTTTGTTTGTATGGCTAAATCAAATACTATATTATCATCGGATATGTTCTCATAGGTGTACGAACCCTTGGTAACAAATTTTAAATGGCCAGCTAAATATTATGGTTAGAGGTTATGTAATAATTTGGCTAGCTATAGAATTTAAATAGATGTTTGTTCTTACTTATGTGTTGTTATATATGACAACGAATTACTATTTCAAACGTCAATAAAATATAGATTCGGTTATTGAATATAAATACGGGATACAGATTTATTTGGACGGCTAAAATAGACATGAAAAATACCATTAGCATAATAGAAATACAAAATTTCTTGTAGCTGTATGAACCATAAATAAAGGTCATTTATGTCATGGTCAACAAGATGATTGCATACACAAGAAATAGCTTGTCTGGTTAAACAGAATAACCGAAAATCATGAGATGTGTTGTTTGTAAACAAAATTCTAAACTCTAAACCCTAAATCCTAACCACTAAACCCTAAATCTTAAACTCTAAACCCTAAACCCTAAACTCTAAACCCTAAACCCTAAACCCTAAATCCTAAACACTAAACCCTAAAGTCTAAACCCTAAACCCTTAACCCTTATAGGACTCCTAAACCCTAAAACTAAACCTAGAAAAACCCTAATGCATATAGGGCTAATCATATTGTATATGATGTCGTCCAATTATTAGCCGTCTAGAATTTAACATATATGTACAATGTAGTTATTATACGGATAACTATACTGTTAGCTGGCTAAATTAATATCACATTCATTACACTAAACCCTAAAACCATATGCCTATATCATAACCCCCACTCCCTATATCCTTAAAGTTAAACATATATGTGCAACTATGATCCGTCCTAATAATCTAGTAAATAATATACGGCTAGAGTTTGAGATAGATGTGCATTATATTTAATAACTTGATAAGTATTGTTTTAGCTGGCTAAATTTATTGCATATGCCATTACTCCTGAGTTTATGCCAAATATAATTTGGTTCATGATTTCCGTCGCATCTAAGAGGTTAGACCTATTTTGTAGCCTGTTATTAAAATAGCTTGTCTGGTTCATAAGATATCTTGTTAGACAGAATAACCGAAAATCATGCGCTTGTACTTGCTCAAGAATTCCTGATTTTGATATGTAAGTTGTCTGATGGTTAACATAAGTGTCGTCAAGTGTACACAATTAATTAGCCGGTCAAAGAAAACCATATCTTTGTATATATAGTGAAGACTAAAATAAGGCTGGATCCTTGCATCATCTCCGACAAATATATCATAACCCCCACTCCCTATATCCCCACGACGAAGAATTAGCTTACAAGGAGCAAAGCAGAGAAACAAGCGACATGAAACAACAAGAGGTTTGGGTGTGGGAAGAAAACAATGGAGGTCAAGACCTCACTCTCTGATTGAACACCGGTGATTGACTACAAAATCAGAGAACGACTCCACCGTCCTCCAATGGAGTATCGCGACCTCCGATGAGTAACCAGAAACGCCAAAGCATCCTAGGGACCCGCGCTCAAGAGACCCATAAATGGACGGAGAAGACGAGAGAACACCACCAGAAATCTTTACATGACTATTCCGTCATAAGATTAGTTTCCGAAGAAGGGGAGGAGAGTTTGGAGAGAGACAAAGCCTAAGAAAAAAATACACATGACAGAGAAAGATTTCAAAAAAAATTAGGAATGATAGAGAAAGTTATGATTTTTGCTTCTCTAATATTAAATTCGGGATGATACGAGATCTTTCCGTATCTAGGAAAGAGATTTGGTCTATAAGGTCTACAAATGGTGGAAGATGTGATGATTCACCTGTAGGGGTATCAGTGTAAAAATAACACTTGAACAGTAGACACTTTTTACTCGATGGGTATATGCCTAAATACTGATAAATCTTTTGGTAGGAGAGCAAATTTCTCATTTTTATATTTTCTGTATTTTATATTTATTTTATAATAATTTAATTATTGTTTGTGATTTTTTTTTTGAAATTTTAATGACATTTATGATTTAATTTTAATTTTATGACTTTTCAAATTTTTGTATTATTATATTTATAATAAAATAATTTAAATATTTTTTGGTTAATTTTATTTTATTTTTGGGATTTTTGTTGACTTTTATGATTTGTTTTGAATATTTTTATAAATTTGTATATTTTCTGTATTTTTATATTTATTTTATTAATAAAATAATTTAATTATCTTTTGTGATGTTTTGCTTTTTTAATTTTAATGATTTTCATGGTTAATTTTAAGGATTTTTTCTATTTTTATTATTATATTCATTTTATTAATAAAATACTTTTTGGTTAATTTTTTTATTTTGTTTTTAGGATTTTTATTGAATTTTATGATTCATTTTAATTTTTAAAAATTTATTTATTTTTTATAATTATTTTATTACTAATATATTTATATATATATATATATTTTTTTTCTTTTTTGTTGCATAGTTTGGTCGCAACGTTAGAAATTCTAATTGATGAACACTAGCGTTGGTCGCTATGATTAGGCCTCTAAACAAAAAGGGCCATTTGAGAAATATTGTCTCACTAGACAACGAGTTAAAGTATCAAACTCCATTGATTACCTGATGGTTTTCAATACTAGTTAATTTATGAATATAAATCAACGAAAAAGAAAAGATATACTAATTGATTTCGTAATGGTTTTGTTAAGCATCATTAGCCATCTTGGCGTACAATTTCACCGTACCTCCAACTCGCTCGCTTGTCGGTTTGAAAATTAATTCTTTATAATCCCAACAACTATATCTTTGGAATTATTTCTAGATACAAGGCTTGTAAAAATTATGTCTTTTGTCAAGACTTCACTGAAAATTCTAGTTTTGTTCTTTTAGATAGAATGAGTGGAAAATCAATTTTTTTTCTTAATTTAAATTATTTCATCTACGTAAAAGCATCTGTAAGAATTCATATTTTCAGAATATTTTTAAGTTGAAGGTGTATTTTATGAAATTATCTTCTAGAATTTTATTTGAACCACGTGAAAACTTGGAGATTTTTCCTCAATTATTCTACCATAATTAGTTGTATGAAAGGATAGGAAAATGTTAATTCAGAAATGTCATTGGAAGGTTGAAGCAATAATAAATGTTAAGAAGCCCATATCCTTCACTTTACTCTCACGCCTCTCTAACTCATACATGTATAAATAGCAGCCAACCATTTACACAGCTTTTTAAAACTTAGTCCCCATTGATCTTAACCATGCCCATTAAACCGGTTGTAACCACCGTGATAGCTCTTTTCTCCACCATTCTTGCTCTCTATTCAATCCCATGGCCTTCCTCTCTCACATCTATTGCTACAACTATCATAACCAATTCTCAACTCGGACCATTATCAATATATGCAGCATTCTTTGGACATAGACACCATCATGTTCCAATAAAGGGTTGTGAGAAATGGACGTCAAGGCTTACACACCTCTACAAGGCGTCTCTTGTGTTGACTGTTGATTTGAACGGTTGTGGTAACTTCAGCAATGTTCAAAGTGCCATTGATTCTGTACCGGATTTAAGCCCTTCCAAAACTCTCATTATCGTCAATTCGGGTGTTTATAGGTCGTCTCTTTAACTCCAACCTTTTGTTAATCACTCTATTTACTTTTCTTGTGAATTATCAAATAGTTTTAGTAATGTCTGGTTAAATGAACGTAAACAGGGAAAAAGTTACAATTAATGAGAACAAGACAAACATTGTAATGCAAGGAAGAGGATATCAAAACACATCCATTGAATGGAATGACACAGCAAAATCCGCAGGAGGCACTGCCTATAGCTTCTCTTTTGCTGTGTTGGCAGCTAATTTCACAGCTTACAATATTAGCTTCAAGGTAAGAAAGTCACAATCGGAACATATGAATAAGATAACATGAGTTCTCAAATATGTATTTTCTCGAGTGCTTGAAGAACAATGCGCCAGAACCAGATCCTGGTGAAGATGATGCACAAGCAGTTGCTCTAAAGATTGAAGGAGACCAATGTGCTTTTTATGGATGTGGATTCTACGGTGCTCAAGATACTCTTCTAGATGATAGAGGAAGACACTTCTTCAAAAATTGCTTCATTCAAGGGTCCATAGATTTCATATTTGGCAATGGAAGATCATTATATCAGGTGAAAAACTATACATTATACAATATATACATGAGAAACCCAAAACATGACCATAACCAATATAAATTCGTTAGCAGGATTGTACGATTAATTCGATAGCTAAGGAGGTTACATCAGGGGTGAGTGGATCTATCACAGCACATGGAAGACAATCAAAAGATGAACAAACAGGATTCTCTTTCGTTGATTGTAAGATAGATGGAAGTGGGCAAGTGTGGCTTGGACGAGCTTGGGGAGCCTATGCTACCGTAGTGTTCTCAAACACCTACATGTCTGGAATCATCACTCCAGAAGGTTGGAATGATTGGGGTGACCAGACCAGAGAAAAGTAAGTGAGGCTAAAACAAACTTTAAATCATATATAGAACATCCTATGTACACTGTCCTATATGCATTTTATTTTCCAGGACAGTGATTTTTGGAGAGCATAAGTGCTATGGAGAAGGAGCAAATTACAAAGGCAGAGTTTCATATGGGAAACAACTAACCGATTCTGAAGCATCTTCATTCACGGACATTTCTTACATAGATGGAGACCAATGGCTAAGTCAGAGTAACATACTCTCCGAGCTTACATCTCAAGATAACAGTGAAGAAAACTTATCAGATTTTATTAACCGATATGAGGATCATGATGCATAGTTACACACACAAAACACTGAGATATAGTTTATTTCTATAATAAGAAACATTCATCTCTAGTTTTCAAACAATACCAAATACTCTATTATCTTCCTCATTCCATATCTAAATGATTTCAGATTAAGAGTAGCGAATCTATGAAAGAAAATCACCAACCTACATAAATAAATGAAATTACTTCTGTGTCACAAATAATATCGTCATTGCTTTACTAAGATCAACGTTGTATAATCTAAAAAATTAATACTCTTCCCGTTCTATTCATTTAGTTGGTTTTAACTTTTAAGTCTTAAACCAAAACCGGCTATCATCTTTTGTTTGCTTATTTTAGTTAGGGGTGTCAATCGGGCTGGCCTGGCCCGGCCGATCTAAAACCCGTAAAACCCAATGATATTAAAGCACGGTTCGGTCTGTCCGGACCTATATTTCAAAGTCTGACCGACCCTAAATGGGTTAAAAGGTTTTTTGAATTTTTTGGACTTTCACAAAGATAAATTAAAATTCAATACATTAAATTAAAAATCAAAATTAATTCAACCCCAAATTTAAATAATCATCTATATGTTTATAAGATGTAAATCGTAAAAAAATGTTTACCTAATAAATCAAATAAACACAAATATTAAATAATCATAAAACAAAATTATTTCAACCCTTATCAATCGAAAGTTTAAAATCAAGATCATAATATTCATCAACTTCCACATTTTCATTATCATCAAAAGCTACATATAAAATATACGAATATTAAATTTTGACATATATATCAATATAAAATAAAATTTAATAAATATCAATATATTTCTAAATTGCGCAACGTAAATCCCTCCGATCTTACAAATCAATACTTGAGAGGAATTTTACATTTGTATAAGACATGAACACCAATGCTATAACTAGATTTTGACGCTATAGTAGTTCTCTGAATCTATATATATTTAAAACATGAGCACTAGTTCTATATTTATTTGAAAAATAAGAACGAATACTAAATTAATTAAATCAATTAAATCAATTAAAATATAAGTTTTGGTTTTTGAGACCGGTTCTAACCCAAACAAACCTAAGCCTAAGTGCAAAAAGGTTAAAGTCCAAATAGGATAAATCATAAAGGCCCAAAACTCACTAATTATAGAGTTGGGCGGGTTCGGGCTGCGGACTTCAACCCTAGTTGACATGTCTAATTTTTGCTCATACTTTGCTGATTTTCCTCACGTTTTCCTAAGTATTTGTTTATTTTATTCAACTCGTTTTCTTTCAATTTTCTTTTCTGTATGTAACCAACATGCTGATGAAGTATTAAACACTTGCCTAGATTAAACAACATAATAAAATTGTTAATTGGATGATGTTAACAACCAATTTCATGATTTTTCTTATTAATAAAATTTTGACTGATTAAATTTGTTAATGTTTTTCTAAAAGTTACACCGATCAAGCCCAAAGATAAAGTAGAAATTCAACTCACTCAGTCTTACTTATTATTATCCAAATTTGGAGAGTGAGAGTTTGTCACTCCATACAATCTTCCATAACAGTTGGATTATATCATAACTCATTTTCATTACTTTTTTTTACAATACCTATGGTATAGAATTTTAATAAACATGGGATCAAAACATTTTCTTCTCATAATTATCTTTATGAAAATCTTGGCGCAAACCATTTTTTTCCCTTCCAATAAGAACAATAGAAATGTGAACCTAAATATATACAAAAATTACACAAGTTTCGACTTTAACTCTTAAGAACTCAATCATCCATCCACTTTTAAAGCTCCTTGGGTTGTTTCAAATCAAAATTGTATTCTAAAGATAAAGTCTCGACTTTCTTGTGATTGATTTGGTGCGAATGAACCGGCTTATGTATCATAGATGCTCCTTTGAACCTCACCATTTGGTAACACACCTTTATATATTTGCTGAGCTGTAACAATATAAGGGTTTTAATTGCTTATGAGATCCTCCGTTCAGAACAAATACTACACAATTCATAAATGAGTCAAATCCATCCTTTTAGGTGTTAGGTGCGAGTTTTCTGAACCCAAATTTGTTCATCAGTAAAAGCTCTGCCTCTTCCGCTGCTGGACATAACAAACCTTTGGCTTGTAGGATTTCCCATGTCATTCCAACCATTAAACAACTCGAGACATGTATATCGTGGAGAATACAATTGTGGCATAAGGCCTCCATGCACGTCAAAACCACACTTTGCAACTTCATTTGATCACACAATTAACAAAAACAAATCATGTTTGGTTTGTTTTAGATTACTTCACATTTGCCGTAATACATCCCATTGTATTTTCCTTTGCAATTGAGTGAATTATGCAATCCTGACCATTTGTTTTAATTTTATATCATTACCTACACGTCAAGAAGCTTTGTCTTAAAAGATTATAAAAGACAATCGTTTACCTGGTAAATAGACATTGCATTACCAAAGATGAAAGTCAATTAATCCTTCAATGAAACATTCTTTGTAAAAGTGTCTTCCTTGTTGGTCTAGAAGAGTGTATTGGTTCCCATAGAACCCACAGCCAAAGAATACAACTATGTCCCCAACAATCCTTAGAACAAGCCCTTGTTCATCTTTTTCACCAGGATTTGGTGTTGAGCATTGTTTCACGACCAGCACGAGAGAAGCTTGGCGAGGGTGGGTAAGGCTTGACGACCTTCACATCTCAAGACTTTTGACTGGTAGGTCTTCATGGTGGTGGTGACTAAGGGCGTTGTCTCCAAAGATTCCCAATGCTCCAAGTTGAGAAAAAGGTTGCAACAGAGGAAATAGAGGTTGCAACAGAAGGAACAGATGAGGAGGGCCATTCGATTGGATAAACAAAGAGAACGGTGGCAAGAAGACCAACGAGAATGGTTACAAATTTGATGGACATGATTAAGAACACTATTTATTGTTTTCTTAGTCAATTCAAAGAAGAGAAGAAAGGTAAAAGTTGATAAAGATTGGCGTGAGAAGTTTGTAAATCTGTAAATGGTAATCCTTCTGTTTCAAAAAGATTCATGTTTCAGGAAAAAATGTTGATTCAAAAAAAAAAAAAAAAATATATATATATATATATATATATTTTTTTTTTTTTACATTTTCACTGTATTCATTAATGGTGAATTGTAAACTTCAAAAACTCTAATTGTGTTTCTTAAAATTCTATTGGTTAACAGTTATAGGAAATAAATGATTACACAAAATAATGTATTGATAATTTAAACTAGACATGTTTTCTTAATAAGTGTGAAAATGTTAAAACATGGAACATTTTGAAACAGATGGAGTATATATGTACATAAGACAAAGAAGTTGGGTAGGGTAATAAAGTATTTTTTTAATGCTCAAACTACCAACGACATTCCTGTATATACATGAGTCTAATGCATTTGCGTACTACAGATAAACTCTATAAGGCTTCTACCTTGACATTTGTTATTGGCTTATTGAATTTATTTAAATGTCACTATTAATTATATATTTGGTGGAAACTCTGGTATATAACAAGACAAAACTAGTCCTGCGAAAATTAACTCGTAGTAACTCACCTGAAAAGTAATGGTGGCAACTTGATAATCTCACAGCTCCTCTGATACTAGTATGCTATAGTTTTCTAGAAAACTAATGCAATCTCAGAATTTAAAGTAACAATCTTGGTATAGCAATACAAATTAGCGAAAATTAACCGATCTTGTTTAATAGAATTAAAGATTTCTTTTCCCGGTTAAGGGTTTGGTTCAAGCAATGATTTTTGGTTTGGTTTGATGATTGTTTGGATATCATATTGAGGAAATCACAATTGCATTACTTGACACAAATCAAACCGCTTTACAATTTTATTTGTTTGTATTCTTGAAAAATGTCTTACAGGCTAAAAAATCTTTGACATAGCTTAATTTCAGTTTTAATTGATGTTATATCGATATAGTTAATATTTGCTTACCCAAACTAAAGTAAATATTCATTTTTTTTCTTTGTACTTTTCATCTTAATGTGAATAATTTGACATATGTCCAATATCTGCACTGATAAAGTATGAAATATTTATATAATCAGTTATTTGGTGTAACAAAATAAGTATTTTTCTAGAAAAATAAACGTCCTCGATATATGTAAACAAGATATCTTGTGGCCAAAATGGAACACATAAATGCAAAAATTCTTATGTAGTTAAGAAAAAAATATCTTACTTTGTTTTGCTTTGTTTTTGCTTTGTTTTTTTTTTCACTTCATAAACTTTTTTCCAGCATTCATTCAACTATACTCATTAATATTATATGGCTGAAAATTTAAAACCGATTTTAGTTCCATGAAAGATATGTGTTTCTAAGTTTCATGTTTTGACATAACAAACCTTTGGCTCGTAGGATTTCCCATGTCATTTCAATTATCAAGAGAAACATAAGGTGGGTAAGGGTATTAAAGTATTGTTTAATGAACCAAACAATGCATCTCATAACTACAAAAAGTTATGTTAGTGAAAGTTTTTTTTATTTACAGAGAACATGCATAAATTTTTAATATATCAAGACTTTGTCAGTCTTACAGAATAAATTTCTAGAAGGTTTTAAATGTCAGTTTTCTATAATTTATTTTAACTCTTTGCGTATTATCATATTCTACCAAATTTTATAATTTTCCTTTCTTTTTAACCATTTAGACCCAAAGAGAAAACATAAGAACATCGAGCATAAAGTGGTGTGTTTACCTGTAAACCCCAGAGTTTATGATGATGAGAGTTCGGAGAGGGCTAGAGTTAGGAGCAGCATCTATGGCGCTCTGAATCTTCGTAAAGTTCCCGCCACCGTTCAAGTCCACAACAAGCACGAGAGAGTGAGCATGATTAAGAACACTGATTAAGAACACTGTTCTGTTTTCATAGAGAGAAAGAGAACGGCAAGAAGATCAACTAGAATGGTTTTGATGAACATGATTAAGAATTGGCGTGAGATGTTTGTAAACCTGTAGTTGGTATTTATTTTAAAGAAGATGTAGAAGTTGGGTATGGTAATAAGTATTGTTTAATGCTCAAAATATTGAATACATGATCATTTCAGAGCATTTCGGAGTTGTTCTAATGCGTTGAATGTGATGTTTTTCCAAATGCATTTGCAGACTGCAGCTAAACTCTGTAAGG